GTCACTGTTGTTCCTGGGAAGCTCCTCTCTTCCAGCTGGCCCACACCCTCTCCTGCTGCAGTCTGGCTTTCAAAAGCTTGGCCATAGCAGAACAGACAAAGGGCTGCCTTTTTCTGCTGTCCTAGCAATCTGCTGCCCTAATTACATGTTTATGCTGCCTGCACCTACAACTTGTGCTGGCTCATCACCGTGTGATCAAGGCTGTCCCTGGGGGGGTCTGATTGATTATAGCAGCTCTGACTCTTTGGACAAGAGATGCGGGGTATAGAACTTTAAGTCTCAGGAAGGGAAATCAATAGGTTAGAACGTATTTTGGTTCAGCTTCAGAATGAAACTCTTATTTATCTCAAGGCCTCATGAGAAGAAGATGCGGTCCAGAAAACTGTTATTACCTGTTCGTAACACTGCTAAAGAGTCATATACATGAGAGAGAAGATTCAGAAACTGAATCTAAGACACAGCATTGGTTTTAGTCCTGCAATAAAGAAACAGCAATTGACAAGTAGCTGAGTATTTCAAAGATGCCATCACTGAAACTGATGGAAAGAAAAGGCAATGTCTAGATCCAGCCGTTACTCAAAACGGTATTTCTCATTGCTGTAGCTGTGAATTTGCTCTATGGTGTTCTTCTCTTTTTTGTCAGTGATGAGAGAACAATACATGGCAGCAGCTGCTTTTAAAGATTACTGAAAATGAGTCTTGCAACTGTGCCAAAGAAACAGAAGACTGCATTCTCGATCTCTGAGCAGAATCGGATCGGACATTCTTCTAAACGTAGATTTCAGATTTGGTGATTTCCTTGCTCAAAAACCCAGGGAGCTCTCTTCCTAAGTCTGGCAATTAACAGGCTATGCTGCTTTAATCATAGAATTCTTTAGGTTGGAAAAGACCTTTAAGATTATAAAGTCCAACTGTTAACCTAACACTGCAAAGTCCACCACTGAACCATGTCCCTGAGCACCACATCTACAGGTCTTCAATACCTCCAGGGATGCTGATTTCAACACTTCCCTGAGTGTAGCTCTTCCAATGCTTGACAACCCTTTTGGTGAAGGAATTTCTCCTAATAGCTGATCTAACCCTCCCCTGGCACTACCTGGGGCCATTGCCTCTTGTCCCACCTCTTGTTACTTAGGAGAAAAACCGGACACCTCCTCTCTCCATCCTCCTGTCAGGTAGTTTTAGAGAGCAATAAGGTCCCCTGCTGAGCCTCCTCTGCAGGCCAAACAGCCCCAGTTCCCTCAGCTACTCCTTAGAGGACTTGCTTTTCAGACCCTTCACCGTCTTCATTGCTCTTCTTGTAACACAGTATGTAGGATGACTGTCTGAAGCATCAACTAGAAAATGTGCTTTTTGATTTGGAATAAAATATTGGTCATAAAAATAGCCTAGAAGCATCATTTAATTTAAGTGTCCTGCTGGCTCAGAGGCTCCCAAGTTCTTTAGATATCTCTGCCCGCATTGCCAGTTCTCACAATGGATGCTGAGGTATGGAGGTGAACATGAAGACAGGAGGTCTTTGGGAGCAGAAACTTAGTGAACGAAGGCTTTTTGTCAACACTGGTGAAAAGTCCTGGGAAGAAAGCATCCAGTAAGATTTTCAGGGACTCCAGTGATAGGACAAGGGGTGATGGGTCCGAACTTAAACAGGGGAAGTTTGGGTTAGCTATAAGGAAAAAGTTCTTTCCTGTGAGGGTGGTGAGGCACTGAAATGGGTTGCCCAGGGAGGTTGTGAATGCTCCATCCCTGGCAGTGCTCAAGGCCAGGTTGGACAGAGCCTTGGGCAACATGTTCTAGTGTGAGGTGTCCCTGCCCATGGCAGGGGGTTGGAACTGGATGATCTTAAGGTCCTTTCCAGCCCAAACCAATCTGTGATTCTATGATTCATTCTGAGACTGACGGAAGTGACGGCTGAGCTAAAGGGCACCACAAATACCTGCCAACATCAACACAAATGGTGGAAAAGGCAGTGGAAGCTTAGAAGGAACAGGAGAAAGCCTCTGTTTACTGAATGTTGTGAAGAATGCTCAGAAGCAGGGATGGATCTCTTCCCTGTGAACTGGCAAAGTACCATGCTACAAACCAGACTCATCTTACTGCAGCCACCAGTGCCTTCTTACCTCCATTTTTCCATTAAATTTCTCTTCATTTCACCCTATGGATTTACTGAGGCTTCATGGTGCAGTATCTGCTGTGTAACCTGTGTAAATGTGACGCCATAGATGCGCAGCAGAAATGTGTCTGTAACAAACACTGGGTTCATATCCATAATATTTTCGTTTCTAGAGATTTGCTATTGACCATTGCAACTGGCATTCATAGATGAATCTGCCAATATCAGTCACTGTCTTTTAATACCATGTATTCATGCCCAACAGTAGCAAAAGCAATGCTTTTTTCCTTGGGGCTGTCAGGAGTCCAACTCATTTGTCATTTTTAAGTGGATACCTGGGGCAGATTCTGTCCAAGCAAAACAAATCAATGCAGTTAGTTATACTAAATGCATTCAAACAAGGGTACCTGAAGGGGGGAGAAGAAAAAAGCGCTGCAGCAAAGGAAATGATGGAGAGAAGTATGCATGCTACAGGCTTGGAGAAGGCTGGGAAAATGGCAGCAAGTTTGATCTATGCCCTGGGAGTGAGGAAGAGATTGAGGATCAGATAAAGGGAATTATAAAAGGGAGGTTAGGGCTGCAGAGGAACCTGAATACAAGCCAAAGAGGTAGATTTAACAAAAGAAGAAGATAAAGTAGTGAGTGTAGGATGCGTCTCCAGGGTTGAAGCAGAGGAACCAATAGAACCAGTTACTGTGCCTTAGACAGCGGGCAGGCCTGGAGGGGAATCTCATTTCTGGACCATTTGATTCAAGACCAGTGCTCTGGACTATGAAGCAGCTGGGGTATCTTATAGCCTGTATCACTTATGATGCTAGCATGGCTTTAGCATGGCGATAAACATCACAAGAAAAGCAGCTTGTGCAACAGCCCAGCTCTTGGAAATGGTGCAGAAAGAAAAAGAATCTCTTATAGCTGTTTTTATAGAAGCAGGTAATATAGAAGGCAGGGTTTGCTTTCTTTTCAAGGGGTACATTTTGGTCACGGGTGGGGGTGAGTTGTAGGACTGGTTGAAGTGGATGTCAGTGCTTTATTTTTTACTTTAAAACGTTTATGTTTGATGATAGCAAAAGAATACGCTTTTCTGTGACAAAGCAATCCAGCCACCTTGTCATTTGAAATGGGCACCTGAGACAGATTATGCCACAGCAGAGCAGACCAGTACAGTCAGTTGGACTAAATGCACTAAAACAAATACACTTGGATGAGAGAAGGAAAAGATGCCACAGGAATGGAAATTATATTGGGTGGGCGGGAGGGGGAGAGAGGAGTTACTTGCAACAAGGAATAAGGAGGGATGGGAGGCTTCATCTCCACGTGCTAGAAATAGCTGAACTCATCCACCAAGATCATAATCAAACCAGCTTTAATAGTGTAGTGTCATCAAAAAGAGGGAAATTATACCCACTCCCAAAATGAGTACACTATGGAAGGATGCTTATAGATGTCTTGCAAGGCTCCAGGTAGTTTCTTGCTCTCCTTTATTCAAACACCTTCATTACTGTAATCCATCAAGATCATTATGAGAGAAGGGATCAAGAGGTGCATCTGGTATTTTACATTATGTGAATCTGAATCCTGGAACAAGAAGCAGATGGTGGCACAGTGGTAGAGGTGTCTCACTGTGATGAGCTCATGTCGCTGGCAAACTCATCCTGCAGGATGATCCTCAGCTGTAGCTGATCACACAGGTCAGAGTGATGGGGGAAGGATCTCAGTGACTTGGCTGTTACTGTGTCTCTGGGTATGTGCTAGCTCCACTGAGCAGTCCAGCTTTGGCCAGAACTGCAGCACAACTACAAAACAAGTGGTGCTACTGCGCTTGAACTTGAATGGAAAGCCCTGAGACCACTTGTTTCTGATGGCTGAGAAAAGCCCTCCTGGGAAAGCACTTGTTCCTTCCAGAAGAGGCAGGGATATACCATTCTCCCACCCATAGTGTCACCTCTAGACTAAACCCTTTCCCTGTGTGGGCAGGAACTGAGGAATAGGATGTAGGGGCGGCCGGCAGCATCGGGCTGTGCGCGCACAAAAACCAGATCAGCGCTTCTGGAAAGAGGCGAGCGGCTGGTGGAGGGGGAGAGGAGGGAGACACGGCCGCGCTGCGGCTCTGCGTGCAGGCGGATGCTGCTGGGTCCCAGCGCGACCTGCCCTGCCGCTGGAGCCTGTCCGACAGTGCCTGAGCCGGGCTGCAAGGAGGCACCGCGCCCGGGGACCTCCGGCAGGGCACAGCCTCATCCGCACCCCTCTCATCTCTGCCGGCTGCGGTAGCGCCACAGATGCATCCACTCGCTGTCAATCTCCTTCCTCCACTGGAACTACTTCACCGGGCCTTTTACCGGCAAGTCTGGGGGGGGTTCTTTAAAGCTCTTTGGGAATAACGTGAGCGGAGGGCGTTTAACCACCGGGTGATTCCTCACAACCCCATCCGCGGCCAGAGGCGCTCGCACATCCCCACTCCAAGGCTGCAGCCCCTCTGCCTTTCCTCTTCCACCCGGGACGGAGGTAGGTTGGGAAGCGGTGTGGGGCATCCCCGGCGAGGGCCGGAGGGGGGCCGAGGTGAGGGGAGAGCCCCTTGGTGGGGCGGGCGGCGGCGGGGTATGTGCATGTACATATGGTCTGTGAACGTGTGGCTGTGTCTGTCTCCGCGATTTTCCTTGTGTGGGGTGAGAACTTTGTGCTTTCTCGCAAATCACGGTCGTTGTGTGAAGCTTAGGAAAGCTCTGAGGCGCGGATGCTGATTTGGGTTCCATGTGCTTGTTTTGACTTGATTTCTCCAGCCTGTGAAGCCTCCTCATGGGTTTTCACTGCGGGTTGAAAAATGCTTCGGGTGTTGGGGGCTGGTGTTTTGTTTCTTTTCCTTTTCAGCGCTTGAAAATCAGTGACCTGTAAACCACGTCTAAAATAAACGCTGATGTGTTTGCATCTCTCTGGTTACAGCGTGAAGAAAGAGGGACATCCTTACGGCGCTTGCCTACGCACCCTATGAACAAACAGGTCAGTACCTAAATCAAATCCGAATAACTTGGGAAAAGGAATTTCCATGTCTAATATGCACTGTCATTTATAGAGATGTGTATTTAACCTAGTTAAACTCAAAACATTGATGGCTTGAAGAAGTTTAGTCCATTTTCCTTTGCAGGCAGGACTGCCTTTTGCTTGAAATAAGGCATAGAAAGTGATCCTTCCAGGATGTTGCTGTGTGAACCAGTGTGCTTCATTGGGTGTGGGAAATGCATATTAATGCTATTTCTTGCTTCAGGATGATAATGTTTTAATAATGGAATGCAGCTGCTTTTTAATCCTTCGTAGAAGTCTTACATGGAACTTTAATTTGCAAGCGTGCAATGTTAGCAAGTTAGTTAACACTGCAGTTGTGCTTGAACTGGAGCGCATGAGCTCCCTGGTATCTCTACAGATCACAGTGAATGGACAAGTGTGACTGTATTGCCCGGTATGTGTGTGAGATTCAGATAAGTGTAGCTAAAAGTAAATACAAGCCTGTGCTTTTGATCCAGTTGTGTGAAGTCTTGCAGGGTCTTGCACAATTCACGTAGTGAAGATATCAGCTGTAGGAGGCGTCCTTCTGACACAGAGGCTGTTGTGCAAATCAGGATACAGAGATAATTCTCTGATGAACCTGTCCTGATTACATGATGAATGTCTTAAGAGATGCTCCCTGTCAAAACTGATTTTTGCAAAGAGAAGTCATCCCTAGTGAAGACAAATCCCAGCACCAGGGAAGCACGTGAGAAATCCAACACAATGAGGTGTCCATTTCCCCTTTACAAACCAGTGCAGCAGAAAATACTGCAGCAGTCATCATGGGTGTGCGTAAGTGTCACTGTTATAACAGTGGTTACTGCTTTGCTCTTTAGCAATGCTTTGGTTTTTCAAAGAGTCGTTTGCTCTAAGTGGGGCTTTTTGGATAATGACTTAATGTCTCCAGCACTGAACATCAGTGCTTTGATGCAGGAGTGGCTGGTGTATGTTAAGTTGTGAGCAGATAGTTCTCTTTTAGTCACTTTGCAATTACAGATAACTCCATGCATAGTTGAAAGCTAAAGATTTTTTCTCTCCCTAAAGACAAGTATTTTACCCAGGTGGTTATTGATAAATGTACAGTTAAAACCTGCTGTCTCTTCTAAAAAAGGAATCGATGTGTATCAATGCTTCTAATGGGTATCCCTGACATCATCTGCAGGTTACAGTGAGAATTCTTCTTAGGAGTTAACGTATTTTCTGGTGGTAAAAATAAGGTTTCACTGTCATTTATTCATGGTGTACATGATGCTTGATTGCCTCGGGATAGGAAAGCAAGGGATGGCAGTAAATAAATCACCAGTGTGGCTGGTAATTTTAAACTGGCTGGTGATTGATAAAGTTGTTCTCAAGCCAAGAAAAGAGAGTACTGGAAAAGTAGATTGGCAGTAAAGTGGGATCCCACATGGATTTAGAAAAGGGGGCCAATGAGTATAAAAACCTGACGTTCTGGAAGTGAAATGTGACCGTTTCCAAAAGGCGGTCTGGGTTAGATTTCACAACAGAAATCAGAAGACAAAGAAGGAAAGCAGAAGCAGTGGGCAAAGCTCAGAGTGAAGCCAGTCCCCAAACCAAACGAATGCCTTGCTTCTCTTTTGAACGTGGACGTAGGTGTTGGACCATGTGTATGCAGGCTGAAGAACCCATGGGGTTTAGAACATGGAAACTGTGTGAGGAAACATTCTGCCTTGTCCCTCAGCTCTCTGTCTCTGGTTGGAGCTAAGGAGACCACAGGGCTGACCCAGTGTGGGTGGACTGCAGACCACCTCTTAGCTCCTGTCCTCAGCACAGATTTGCCCTGGCAATTGCTGAACAGCAGGGCAGCCCTTGACAGCCACTGGCATGCTCCACTGTTGGTATGGAAGAATTAAGAGATGGGGGTTAGGATAGATCACACATTGTTATTTCTGTGCCAAAATAAGTGGTTTCTGAAAACGAGAAGGGCAGGGAAGTGCTCATTCTTGTGTTCCTCTGACACTCCTAAGCTTGCTGTTTGCCATCAGCCACCCCTTTCCTCCTCAACCCCTGTGGGGCATAAGGATTTCTGATGTGGGAATAGTCAGCACTCTGAGGTACTGAAAGGCCTTTTGGTGTGAAGAGCTCTGTGGCCAGGGCATGGAGAAATAAAGGATGAATGGAAACGACAGTAAACCTAAACCACATTTGAATCCTAGAAAACCTTTCTGGAGGACACGAACTTACCGACAGCCTTACCGTGAGTGTGCGTGTTCCGTGTTACCTCTGGGTTTGTCTGACATAACTACGTGTTAGATTTGTTTAGATTTAGGGACTTCTCATCACAAGTTAAACTGTTTATTTTATGTGTAGTGAAGAGTGATCGTAATAGGCTCTGTATTAATATGCAAACCCACATGTACGCAAGCACCCTTCACGAACACATCAGCAGATAGAAGAAAGATGCCTGCCTAAATGTTCTTATAACCATTGTTTCTTGCTGAAGCAGGCTGTATCTGCCTTACAACTCTGGCAGAAGCATCCAGCTGTGCTCAGCAGCCACCAGCATTGTGCCTGCATGGCTCTGGTTGTGTCTGTGTTGTAGGGATACGTGGGATTGCTGAGTGTGCACTAGCCCCAGCATGCCCATTGCTCTCATTTCCTGGGGCAATGGGAGCTGGTGAGCGTGCACCTACAGGTAGGCACTGTGGGAAAGGAGCAGACTGGGACCTGAGGGTGAAATCTGGCATCATTAGCATGACAGTATAGACACCTCCCTGCTCAGCAATGAAAAGTCAGTGGTAGCAAACCACCCGGCAGTTCTTGAGGAGAACACTCATGCAGTATGAGCTAGTTGATGAAATGAGGTTTTAGGAGGAGCCTCAACTGATTCAGTTGAGTTCAGGCCTTGAGACAGAATCACCGAGTTCTTTCACATTCCTTAAGTGCTTCTCTTTGTATTGTTTCAGGATGCTCACCAGAACGCCAAGTGTTGTTGCTCAAGCATTCCTTCTTCTAAGCATTATTCTTGTCATTGCTATTGCAGTGATTCAGATAAATCAGCAACAGATCCTCTCCCCAGGGCTTAAGGTAAGTCTTAGAATACCTGAGGAAGGAGAACAATGTTTTGAACTGATATTTAATAATGTCCCTTTCTAAACTAGTTTCTTACGGGGTGAGTCAAATGAGACATAAATTAATGCTTAATCCCATTGGGAAAACTGAAGCTGAGAGAGAAAGAGAATTGCTTAAGATCACAGAGTCAGTGGCAAAACAGGAAAAGCATTCCCTGATTGCCTGTGATGCCTATCACATAACGTCTTCTCCAAGACTGAAAGGCCAAATGAGAATCTGCCACTGCTTTTCTCGTTTTGCCAGATTGGAAGTAATATTATAATAATTTTGAACTTTAAAGTTTAATTTCTGCCCCCCCTCCCAAGCACAGCCAGGAAGTTTATGCTGAAATCTTTGCACGCTGCTGCTGTGTGTCAAAAGCATTTGGGCTCTAAGTGTGTGCTTTATGATTTAGCACGTGTTGAGTCTTGTCAGATAGTAACAGAAGCAAAGCAGCTTCACAAGGAGGGGCAGAGCAAACTGGAAGAGATAAAGTGATGTCCTCTGGAATTCAGGCGTTGTCTTGTGCTGTATGTGTGCTGATTCTTCAGTGAGAGATGAATGCAACTGGGGACACGGGTGTAGAAATGAGCCTTCTAGGGAAGCTGTGCAGTCTGGCAGTTTGAGTTCTGCCAATGATAGCTACAAGGATATAAACCTCGTCAGGTCCTTCTCTGAAGTCCTTTCTACTTTTCCCTCTGCGAAAGCACTTAACTGGATAGTTCACATACCGATAGGCTAATGTCTTATTACACTTCATGAAGTTACAAACACCTTTGGCTTTGCCTGAATTGTTTGGTGGTGTGTATGAATCATACCATGGGATAAAACTGTATTCCAATACCAGTTTTATGTGTTTGTGGTGTGGCAGGATGTGCATGCTGGGATCTTGCATGGGGACACAGTGCCTCAAGTTTACTCCCTGTTGTGCCCTGAATCTCAGCCTTACATCCTGCCATTTTTCATGCAGGGCAAGACTGGATTGACCTGTAGGCTGAAGCCACTATCTAAAAGACAGCCTACGCATTGCTTGTGGTTGTCATCAATTCAGTTTCACATTCAGAATGATGAAGTTGTCCCCTTTAAGCAACCACTGGACATTTAAGCAGCTTGACCATTTGGTTTAGGTGGGGAGGGTTGCTTTCTCAATCTCAACAGCTTCATGGCTGGTTCTGAAGGAAAACCAGTTTTCTGCCTGCCAGTGCAGGAAATCCCAGCTGACACAGAGGATCCTGTGTGTGCCGAGATGCTCAGTGGTCCTTGGTAAATGATTAACACTCACAAAAGGAGGACTTTGGAAGGTTTCACACTGGCATTATCAATAGTTGACCAGATGGAGCCTGGAAGGGGCACTGTCCTGATGTTAGTGATTGATTAAAATTAAATACATATGACAATAACATGATGAAAACAGACTTACCCTTTGCAAATGGCCTTCTTCTTCTGGCTCTTCTCCATGAAACCAAACAGCTACTGAATGATAACTAGAGTTTGTGTTATAATATCTCCTTCCCAGGATGCACATTGAGAGTGTCCAGGTTCATTCCTTTGTGGATCAAGAGAGAAATTATCTGTTGTTCTATGTTTTAAAGCGTTGTTGCAGAATTAAATGGTTTGGTTCCTTAGGTTATCTGAAGATTGAGCCAGGGATTTGTGAAGGAAGGGTCTGGCCATGTGCATGAGGCTGAGGCACTGAAAGAGCTCATGACTTAGCAGAAGTCAGAAGACTGATGAAGAGAGCACAGACATCCTTACTGACGTAGCTTGTGAAGAAGGCAGGAACTGTAGATGATGCCAGCTCTGAATGTAATGAGCCTTTGTACCAGTCAAAACATCTTGCACTGTCTAATGATGTTTTGTGAGCCCTAAAGAGAAGAAACCCTCCCTTCATTATTGTGTTTCTTTAATTTACCCCTCCAGGTGCTACCCCTAAATTTTGGTCTCTACACCTAAATTTTAGGTCTCTACACCTACATTTTGCGTGTCTCTTTTGGCTCTTCGGAAGTGTTTTGGCCTTGTTTGTGGATCATCTAACTGATTAAAAGTAGTTCAAGCCTATGTAGCTGAACTGAAGTGTGCTTCCAGCATGGATGCACTTTTGTAGCCTCTATCCTCCTGGTTTAGCTTCTTAGCTTCTCATGATAGTTTTCCAAAGTGATCAGATGGCAGGTATGGCATCATAACTGTGCCAGCTTTAAGAATTCTCTCACCCCCTTAAAATGCTGCATCCTCTGTCATTTCTGTTTAATTAGAGATTAATCTTAGTCCTGGTATCTGACACACTTCTCGGTGATCACTGCTTCATGATGCTGCATGGACCGGTTCACACAGGGTGAACTTGCCCAAGTCCAGTCACGAGTCACCCTGCAATGGGCTCAGGAGCCCTCTTCAGAAACGAGCATCCCTTTAAAAGGACTCGGGCAGAAGAGGCGGAGAAGGAAGAAAATAATGAACACCTTGGTTCAGATAAGTGCAGCATTACTGTTTGGCACGGAAATCTGTAACTTCCAGGAAGGAGGCTTGGAAATACAGGGGAGGATGGAAGTAGGTCAAAAAGCCCCACAGCTAGCCGAGGTAAAAATACTTCCGTTATCTTCCAGCTCTACTTGGCCATGGTAGTTGGCTCTTAAAGTAGCTAAGCTAAAAGCTTATGGTTGGCACTTTGAGCTGCATGAGACTGGATTAAATTAATAGCCCTTGAGCAAATTGACCATTACTGTATTATGCATCTCTACAGTGCCTCTCTCTCTTCCAAGGAGCGGGAATACACTCGCAGTATCTTTGCTAAAGCAGTTCCTTGAACAGAGCCTGATGGTGGAGTGGCTTGCTGGTAGCTGTGGAGCCTTCCACCTTTTGGTTGATCAGGGTAAACATCATCTGGATAAATATAAATGCAATTCTCACTATCTAACAGTCCTCTGGGCAACAGACCAGAGTGGAAGTGCTGGTATTTCTTTGGGGTTCAGGAGTTTGTAGGATTGCAGTGGAAGCTGGGGATTAATGGGGTGTGGAAGCTGAATGGTTTACCACCTGAAGCAGTGATCCTTCTCCATCAGACTTGAGGCTCCCTAGGGAGGCAGTGGGTTGAAATGTATTGGCTTGCTGCAGAGGCTTGTCCTTTGCAGCCAGATGGAAGCTCTCATTTTCCAGTGTTGCCAGGCTCTGAGGCAGCTGTGGTTTGGAAAGGAAAGGATGTTAACAGAGAAATGAACTCTACAGCGTGAGATTCCTACCAATGAGATGGCTTTGGAAGAGGCAGGCAGCTAAACGTGCTTTCAGGGATCACAAAGAGGATAAGCAAAATCCCAGTTTTCTTCCTGTCATGCAGTTTGCCTTCTCAGTTGCTACAGTTTTCTACTGCCATAAAAGATGGGAAAGGGGGAAAAACCCATCTGGGTAGCAGTGGAATGGGACGGAGAAACCTGTGCTTTAATCCCACAGGGAGTCCAAGTGACCTGGGGCAAGTCACTGAAGTATTTGTCATTTAGCTCATAAATAAAGCTGGGGTAATCTTGATTCCCTCTTTGTTTTCTCACACTGGCACAGCTTGTTTTCAGTGGCAAACTCTTAGGTGGCCTGCCTCAAGCACTCATAGGGAGAGGCTTATGGGGCAATCAGAAAAGAACCAGACTCACTGCATCATTCTCACTGTGGACTGCTGTGTACTTTACCTCTTTGCTTGTGGCTTTATGGATCCCTTGTGCATCCTTGAATCTACAGCCTGTGCTTAGGTATCAAACCCTTCAGTGTCCAGGGAGTATAGCTAATAGCAAATGATCTTGCTGTAAAATCAGATCCTGACACAGTGTTATGTATGTGTTAGAGTGGATTTTGAACCTCATGCTGAAAGGAGATGGGCATTCTCCATCCCCACTGGATTCATTGCTGTAGATACATGGAATGTTGTTTTGCAGCCAGATTCATTCTGTGCTCAGCTGTTGGATTCATGCCTAAGTACCCAACACTAGAAATAATCTCTATTATAACTATACTGTGCATGCATATGCTACAGTATTTGATGGTGCAAAGAACAGCTGCATATGGGCTGTTAAGCTGCCGCTGTCTGTTTCTTGATCTAATGTAGTCTTTCTTTAATCCCCAGTATGGAATAGTCCTTGATGCTGGATCCTCTCGGACTACCGTCTACGTCTATGAATGGCCAGCAGAAAAAGAAAATGACACGGGAGTAGTAAGCCAAACCTTCAAGTGCAATGTGAAAGGTGAGCTCCAATGGAGTTAGCCTCTAAGAAGACGTTATCTGGAATCTTATACTGCCTTTTTTACACTGTGTCCCCTTTTCATTGCTGGGGAGCAAGAACTGTTCAGGCTATGTCTATATCTGTCAGCATCAGTCATTCTCCTACTGATACAGAAGCGTGCTCTAATCCGCAGTGGAGACGGGAAGCTGTAGCTCAACATGAGTTACTGATTTAGAAATAATTTCTTTTAAAAGGAACATATAAAATATATTTAAAAAATAGCTTGGAAGAAAAACCCATTGAGAAGAATGGGGACCTGCCCTCCTTAGATGTTAGCCATTAATTTTGATGGAGTGGTGTTTAAAACCCTGTCTCTGATGTTTGAGTCGGGTTTCCTAGAGAAACAAGGTGATGCAGGTCATCTGGAATTGTTGTGTAATTGCTTCCTTAAGGTATCAACCTCGGTGATATCTGAGTAAGCTTTCAAAGATACCAAAATCCCATGCATTTTATGAAGACAGGTGGCCGTGCAGGGAAGAGCAATCCATATTATTAAGCGAATCCATAAGGGATTTCTGCAGGAAGCCAGGCTTCACAAATTCTGCTACCCTGAGCCTAATGAACTTCAGTGTATTCTCTAAGGTACTACTGCTTTGTTTAGTGCACTGGTTTGGGTTTGCCAGTGAGCTAAGAGGAGAAGGTGGGGCAACTCAGGAAGTCTCGGTGCAGGTTTTGTTGCACATAATAACTGTGGTGTTCAACAAGAATTTTTCCCTTTCCTTCTCTCTCAGTCCTACATCCCCCTTTGTGTCTGCAAATAGATGCTGGCAATGCAGTCATATTGGTCCATGAGTAACTAAGAGACAAGGCAATAGTTTCCTAACAGCACCAGCATTTCTATCTTCAGCACTAAACACGTGTGGGCATTCTTAGCCATTCTGGGACAAGGAAAGCAAGTGTAATGTGCACAGAAGTAATGTGCTGTCATGTGCCTGATGCTGTGTCTTCACAGGCTGCAGGAATGGTGGCCAGCCTGCTGAGGTGGGGGAACAATTTGCTAGCTCATGCCTTTGCTCATTAGAGTCAAGGTAGAATATTGCCTTTAAGAATTATGGTGTGAGAAGAACTCGCAGAGAAACTGCATTATTCTTCTGGAGAGATGACAGAGGAGTACTCTGAGCACTTGTTTTAATAGGATTAGATTTTGGTTTAATTCCAGCTGAATATGAAAAGAATTGCAAAATGGTTGAATCCAAATTGCTGTGAACTGTTCAGGTCCAGAGGAGCCTTAACAATGATCAACCAGAGCTCTCATCCTCCAGCATACAAAATATCCAGGGTTCACTGCTCAAGTCTTGGGTAACTGCACTGAAGGAGACAGAGGGCTCAAAGGAGAGGTCCCCATCGAATGGTTTGGGTTGGAAAGGACCTTAAGATCATCCAGTTTCAATCCCCTGCCAAGGGCAGGGATGCCTCACACTAGACCATGTCACCCATCTAAGCTGTGAATACATCTGTCTTGTTTCTTTAGTGACCTTCCAATCACAGCCTTAAGCACTTAAATTGGGGGTGTTTCTGGGCATACTGAGAGGCAGACTTTCACATACCTACTGAACTTGAAAGTCAAATGGTCAACTACTCTGTTAGCTCCATGGTGGATTTATGATTTCATATCTACCTTTATTAGATACCTCTGCCCTGTGTGTAGGAGCCAGCCCCCAAACCCTTTCTACACAGCGCAGTTCATCTGTCCTGGTTAGGGTGTAAGCATCAGCAAAGCAGTTGTCCAAAACAGAATGGTCACTGTCTGTAACCTGCTCCGTCTGAACACTGGGAGATGGAGGTTGCTGCCACCAAGGGACTGTGAGGCAATGTCAGGATGTAAAATGGTAGCTGGTGCTCTGTTTATCTCCAGTAACAGCTTTGCCTCCAGCTTCAGGCCTGCCTGTGCTAGACTTAAGACTTTTAGAAGGTCTTATGCCAAACCATCTAATGCTAACACCGTTCATACTGTGAAAAACGGAGTGGTAGAGCGGGGAGTCTCTAAAGTCTTACGTATCTTTGTGGTTTGTTCTTTTTTCAGTGCAATGTGGCTGGGCATAAATGGTTTCTCATTTTGACTCTGTAAGAGCCACCTTTTGCTTAGCTTGGGATCAAGCTGTGGGAGACACTGCTGTTACAAGCGAACTAGAGGGAGTTTTGGCAGAGTTGCTGTCTGTGGGGCAGTGGCTTCATGGCAATGCCTGGATTTCTCCCTGTGCATCTTACCTGTTCCTCCCTGTGTAACTTTCATTCCCATTAGTCAAAGGCTTTGGGAACCTGTGAGGTGCCGATTAGCTCTTGCACCAGCTTAGACTTGGACCTCTTAGGACTTCAAGAGCTGCTTGTGCACGTTGAAATTTCACCAGCAGTTCTTTGCAGAAGCTGCTTTATTTGGCTCTCGGCTGAGAGCAGTGAGCTGCAGAGGTGCCATGGTGTCCAAAACAGCTGTGGCAAAGCAGATGAGGAAACCTTTGGTTTAGCTTGCGGAAGGAGGGGTTTTCTATGCTTCAGATCAGAGAAATTTTACATCCATAAGACATGCTATTGCCTACAGCATCTGCCATTTCCCTCATAAATATAGCACTGCTGTCACTGTGTTGTCACATGGTTTTATACTGTATATCTTCCTCTAGGCATGGTATATAGGTGTATATGTATACACCCTGAAATACAGGCGAGCAGTTTGCAAGTATTTGTCTGCCACAGCTGAGACAGTCACTACATTGATTATTCTTTAAGCACTCCCAGTTTTCAAGCATCCTCTCCTCCTTTGCAATTACAGGAGGGATGGGGGAAATCTCTTTCTCTTAACACCTGCTTGCTAATCGGGCTAATTTGTAGTTGGCAAAGCAGAATGAAATCAATCTACTTGTTCTCTTTTAGGCCCTGGTATATCCAGCTATGAGAGGAACCTTGGAGCTCTTGCCAAACCTTTTGATGACTGCCTGAATAAAGTCAAGGAGAGAATACCAGTTCATCTGCATAAGAACACTTCTGTTTATCTGGGGGCTACAGCTGGCATGAGGCTACTGAGGTATGGCAGAAACTTGAGCTCCTCTGTGTGCATTATAGCAGAGCAGTCTGTGAAAGCAGAGAGCGCAAAATGTTCTGGATGCATTTTTATCCGCTGTAAATTGGCCATCCCTGAAGGAAATGGAGCCCAGCCAGTTTAATTTAATTAACTTTTCTGATAGGGAAAGCGGGGCTGTATGAAAATCCTCTGTGGTGCTGTGCTGAAAACAAATCTTGCTTTATTCTGGAGAAGGCAGGAGCTTAGTTTTCTCTTCCATACCTGTCTTGAAATTCAGTGTTACACAAACAGGTAATGGTCGTGTGTATCTGTGGGCAGCAAAGGCAGATTAAAGCTGGGCACCACAGTTTTCTGACTGCTAATGTGGCTTTTGGGGTCTGCTTGCGGCTTTAGCCCTGGCATAAACTGGCTTTTTATAGTAGTTCTGTGACTGAATGGAGTGGGGAGAAAGGCTCCAGGACTGTTCTGACCAGCAGTTGTCATGCAAGCATTCAGTTCACTAAGAAAGAAAGTGTGTGTGTGTGTGTATATGTATATAAGAAACAAAATACCCATGAGCTTGTAGGCTAAAGAATGAAGTTTATACGTAGTGGGGGAGTTGCTTGCTGAAATGCTGTTGGATAACGTGGCTGTTCCCTGTCATGAACTTCCCTTCGGGGAAACGACCTCTATTTTTCATTAGGTGATTGTAGGAATTCTCTTGAATTGCCAGTCAGTGAACAATAAACATGAAATTGCCTTTCCAGATGCTCAGTGTCTTATATTTTGTGAATTGCTTAGGTTGCAAAATGAAACGGCAGCCAATGAAGTCCTTGCGAGCATTCAAAGCTACTTCAGAGCACAGCCTTTTGACTTTAGGGGTGCGCAAATCATAACGGGGCCAGAGGAAGGGCTGTATGGATGGATAACAGCCAACTATATAATGGGCAATTTCTTAGAGGTGTGTGGAAAAAACCTGCATGCTTTTCTTTCACCGTTTCTCTCTTATAAACGAGAAGTCTGAGAGGACATGCCTGTTAAATGTCATAGCTATAGATTCCGTTTCGCACTGAAATATATAACAGGGTCTTTTTATGTGGTAGTAGTAGAAAAACTAAACATAAAGAACAATACGTTACAGGAATGTGATGTGGCAAAGGTAAAATTGTTGATCCACAAAACAGGGCTCTTCCCTAAATGACACCGGATGCCCTTCCTAGAAATAGAAGTTGCATTGCTTTTAAATGCATTGATGTGCTAGGTGTGACAGGTCTTGATTGTCTTGACAGTGGTGCCAACTAGAGATGTCTTCTTCTGCTTCTTGGTGAATTCCTCAGTTGAGTGCTGCCCCTGCAGCTCTGCTGGTGAAGGATCTGCACAGCTTAGGGGGCTCCTGGCAGTGTTGGCTCACTTGTCTTAGCAGACAAGACTGAAGCAGTGAAGGTGTTGGAGTTGATGTGGCCAAATGTGCTTCAGCTGAGACAGAGATCACTCCTACACCATTCATCCCAATACTGCTGGAAAGCTGCAGGCTATGAGCAGTGGGCTGTGATACTGTCTTGTGCAGACAAAGTGATACCAATATAAAGATACTTGTGCTGTCTTTGACCTCAGAATAGGGTCATGCAGGAGCCTCACAGCAGAGAGGTAGTCAAGTATATTGGAAGATCCCTTTATATATATATATATATTCAGTATAGTTTATTCCCAGTAAAAGCTTTACCAAGATGATGAGCAACTGCATTCATGGCAGCAGTTAACTGCACTTAGATAGTCTTGCTGGGTTGAAAGAAATTCCAACCAAACCCCTGAGTATTGTTTGCTGTCCTGGTTGAATGGCACCTTTTAGATCATGACAATCAATGAGGAGGAATTAGCCATTAGTCATCTTAAGTGATAGCTCATGGTGAGTGTGTTGCTGACTCTTGCAGAGAAAAGCGGTATTGGAATGGCACGTTCTGGAAGAGTTTTTCTTGCTGTTGTGTATTTCATGCAACACATGTGATATGATAAACTTCAGGGTGGTGTCAGTCTTCTACCACATGGACTTTAATAATGCAAATAACAAATTATTCCTTATGAATCTGCCATATTTGATATACAGAAGGACTGCAAGATGGGGTGAAGCCAGTTTAGTATAGAGAGTTGTGTCAAGACCTGCTTGTGGAATGTCACTAGTAGGGGAGAGAAATGGCCACCATTCCTGTGACAGTGGCCCAAGTCAAATTCTGGTAGGGGCTGTTAATGGGAATCTTGCACTCTAAAACCTTGTGAGTGTATTTGCTAACCTTGGGAGCTTCTTTTCCCTTCCTCCGTATACATTCACATCATCCTGCTCAGTAGGTAATACTACAGTAAATATCGAGGTAGATGATCTTACAGAATCTATATTTTGTGTAGACCAAATACAGAATTTGGGCAATGTTTGAGTAATAGGAAAATGCCAGCGGAATGGATCAGATTTATTGCCACTGCAGTTTCAGGGAAGGAAAAGTGCAGAGCAGGGGGTTTTGTTCTTTTGACTTCAATGTAGCTTTTGTTTTTCTGTGGTTTTCATTCTATTTTCACTGTTTTTCTGTGTGACCTCTTAATATTCCTTTAATAATCATTCTTGCCTTGAAACAAGCAAATCTTCATACTATTTACATCCACATTTGTTCATGTTCTCATGGGTACGTAATACAATTCCCTGCATTCTAGTATGGACACTGGCCTGGCTAGTCCTATGCTTTGATTGCTGTGCTGCCCTCTGAGTTGAATGCTAAACTGCATTCCTTTGTCCATCTCTCAAGATCACTTCATTCTGTGAAAATCCATCCCTCTTCCATGACAAACATCTGCATGTTTGCCCAAGAGCTGATTTTTCTGAAAGGGTACAGGCCAAAGAGGCAGGGAAATCTCCAAAGGTTAAGAGTAGGAAAGCTTGAACAAAAGGGGGAACAAGCAGATGGTATCTCTAATCAGTCCTTTTACTTTTACATGTAGAGAAACCTTTGGAGGACATGGGTTCATCCTTACAGAAAAGAGACAATGGGTGCACTGGACCTTGGAGGAGCTTCCACTCAAATTTCATTTATCCCAGAGGACTCTCAGGAGAACTTCAACAGCACCTTACAAGTGAAGTTGTATGGTTACAACTACAATGTCTACACACACAGCTTCCAGTGCTACGGGAGAGATGAAGCTGAGAAAAGGCTTTTAGCATTGCTGCTCCAGGTCTGTTTAAGCCCCTTTGCTATGTTGCTCTTCCCGGTGCTCAGTAATTGTCTGAGGTTCTTCAGCTTGTGTGGAGCTTTGGAGTTTGGAAGTCTCCCAACTTCCCTCTGGAGACCCCAGTCAGAGCTCTGTTGTGTTTAGTTATGGACCAACACACTTGGGTTTCATACAAAGATCCTTGTATCTGTTAAAAATTGGTAAGGGTTTTCTACCATTTGACATAAAAAGGCCCAACTGGTCCTGTAAGTGTTTTGCTGGTCTTGCCAATGCTTTCTTGAGGAAGGAGTTTCTGTGAATGACAATGGTCAGCAATGTTGTACTGATATCGGTCGTGACAGGGGAGAGAACAAAACTACATGCATGTGTGGTTTAAAAAGATTCCCATAGTTACGGTCTTTCTTGCATTTTAATAGCCTTTACTGGGTTTGGTTTGTTCTTTCCCAGAAATCGAACACCAGTTCCAACGTGGATAATCCATGTTACCCTCACAATTATACTGCTGCATTCACCATGAAGCACCTCTCTGGCAGCCTTTGCACACAGTCCCTGAGACCAGCAAATTACCACCCGAGCGAGCTTGTGCGCTTCCATGGAACAGGGGATCCAGGTCTGTGCCAGGAGATGGTTTCTTCATTGTTCAACTTCAGCGCTTGCAGAGACGCAGAAGACTGTCCTTTTCATGGAATACATCGGCCAAAAGTTAAAGGGAATTTTGTGGTAGGTTTGCAAACTCGGCTTTTCTCTTTTGAGCTTGCTAGCTTTTGATTTCTATAGCTATGAAAATAACAGGCCTGCCATCTACTCCTTTTCTATAGGCTTTCTCAGGGTTCTACTATACAATTAATGCTTTGAATTTGTCTGGGCACTTTTCCCTGGCTGACTTCAATTCAAGTATGTGGTTTTTCTGTTCCCAGAGCTGGGCACAGGTAAGTGGATTGGCTGGGTTTTTTGGGTTGGTTTCGGTTTCCCTTTTGCATCTCTAAAAGGGAGATATAAAAAGAACAGGGACTGAACAAGCATTCGGGACTTTTCAGGAGGTCTGGTTTAACCTCAACATTTGTTTTCCCAATGTGCTTCAAACCGTGTAGTATTTGTTGCATGCTTAAAACTTGGACTAAGTGTCAAAATCTGTTTCAGAGCTTTAGCCATGCTGTAAAGACAACATGGAAAACATAGAAACCAGAACATCCTCCATCTTTTATGTATAATCTTAGATGTAGTTTCATTGTTTACCACGTAAACTATGTCACTGTCAGGGTATTTCTTTCTTTAAATCTTTGTATCTTATTGTCCACAACTTGGAGTTCTTGAAAAATGCAAATAAATTCTAATTAGAACCCAAACTATTCTCTAGTTATAAAGCCTGAAGCGTTTTGTGTAAATTATGTGTTTGTAACAAAGCTTTTGCTTTCAGCTCCAGTTTATGCTGCCTAAATTTGAAGAAATATATGCTAGATCCTACTGTTTTTCAGCCAATTTCATTTATTACTTGCTTATACATGGTTACAACTTTGATGCAGAAACTTGGCCACGGATACGTTTTCAAAAGGAGGTGAGTAATAATGATCTCCTCTTACTATTCCTTTAATCCAAAGAAGTTTAGGAGACAAAATGCAGCAGCTGACAAAAACCTAACAGTTGAAAACAGCCTTTGTAAATGATGAAAAATCTTTGGCACAAGGCAAAGCTACTTCTCAAGCCCCAGTAGCAATTCCAGCCTGGTTCTAGGGGCTGCAGCATTACACTGAGATGCTGCCTAGATTCTTTGTAAGAGCTTTAAGAAAGGATCAAATAATTGTGTGTTAAACCTTGTCCCAGTTGGTGAAAGCAGCAGCTCAAAACACCTCACCAGTCTAGGTCCACTGCTGGGTTGGACAGGCAACTCCTGCTTTTGTCTGCTGGCAGAGCTTTGGGGGAACCAGCAGAGCTGGTTTGTGATCAGTGAGTGATGGTGATGGAACTCAGGCAGTTTTCATCCTCAGCTGGGATATCCATGTGTGCCGTGATCTGGTTCCCTGCAATATGAATGTGTATTGACGGGGTACTGGCTTTCAGCTGGCAGAGAGAGAGAAGGCTTATAACATTTCTGTCATAGCTGTGTTTCTGTCTTCCCTGACGTCAGTTTTCCTCCTAAAAACCAGAGTACTTGTGATGAACTTGTGTGTATACATATATATCTCCATTCTAAAGATACTGCTAAGAAATCCTTGCTTTCAAATTGGAAGGCATGGGTACTAGTGAAGCTTGGCTGTCACACCAAGAAGTGTGGTCCCCACAGTCCTCTCTGCGACTGTACAGAGCCCTATTTTAAACCCTTGACCCAGACTGTCTCTTCATCTCCATACAGTTTGGAAATGCTTCAGCACTTGCCTGTAGCAAAACAATGGGTTTACACAGTTTCTCCAGGAGAGGAGGGTGAACGTTTATTGCCTATGTTAGGGCTGTATTCCTTTTTAATTAGTGAACACAATGAATGAAAAGAACCTTTAACCCAGTGCAAATGTCTGGGCAAGATCTAGGGCAAGATGATTTGCAAATGTTATCAACCTTATAATAAGAGATTTTTTTCCCTCTTTCAGCAAAGAAAAAACACTTTGATTCCCCTTACCTCTTTGCTCACCGGTTGTATTCCAGTTCCTGTTGGTGTAGCTTTCTTTTTATCAGTGAAACAGAAGGTGTTAAGATATACACAACTATAAAAAGGACCAAATGTTATAGGCCATTATGATCTCCTACTACCAGTAGGTGACTGCTTAAAAGTGTTCATTAAAGACATTAAATCATTTATTGAAGTTTCTCTCTCAACTTCATCATGCTGTTGATGGAATTCTAGGAATTAGCACAGTAATGCTGGTTTTATTTTTTATTTTTAAATTCTTTCTTTTTTTAAGCGTGTTTCTTGGTCAGAATATCCCATATCTGGCTGCCTGCATACACACCACACATCTTTGTACCCATCCATCTAATACCTGTGTTTCACTTCTTTAGCCCAGAGACCAATTTTATCCGCATCCTCTGGAACTACAGAAACAAGAGCAATTTAAGATGGTTTTGTATCTTTGTATATTCCACTCAGGTTTTCTCCTTGGTAACTGAAAGGGCAGTTGTCAGCACCACCAGTTGAGCATTTGGAACCCCTTTTCTTTGACTGTCCAATGGGAATTCTGTCTGTATTTCAGGTTGGCAACAGCAGCATAGCGTGGTCACTCGGTTACATGTTAACCCTCACAAACATGATCCCAGCAGAAGGCAAGCTGATCCAGTTACCTCTGAAACCTGCTTTGTTTGCTGGGCTCCTTGTCTGCCTCACAGCTACAGCATTGTTGTGTCTTCTCTTCCTCGTGTACTTGTGGATTGCATCACGTCATCGGAAGAACGGCAGCCGTGTTGAACATGTATTTATTCCAGAATGAATGAATTTTACTGAAAAGTTTTATAGTGCTATGAAGTAGGACTTTATTCTTGAAAAATGGAGAGTGAAATAAAGACAAAAGGCAGAAAGACTTCAGGACCAGAAGCATAAATGAGGAGAGACATTAAGGCATCTGTGATACGGTGACTTGGAGTGCTTTTATCTTGACACTTGTTTCTGTAAACCTCACTCGTCCAGCGTGTAGCAGAGAAACAATGGGCAGGTTTGTTAATAAGGGATTAATAGCCTTTTCCTGACAGGTATGTATTATTGTTGTTGTTCATGTCGATCTGTGCTGATAAGTGGTGATAGATGTGACCACAGTGGTGGCTGTTTAAGTATGCCGTGAAACATGGCAGCTGTCCTGGTGTGCTGTGCTGCCACTGAAAGCTCCCAGGTAATCTCATTTCTGAAACTGGAACAAGCACTGGGTAATGACAGCAACTGAAAGGAACAGCTAGGGTAGTTTCTTCTATTGCTGTTCCAAACTGATCTGCATAAAGGTGTAATAAACTGCCAACACCTCTCAGGAATGTCAAGCCTGTCTCAAACCTAAGCTATATCCTTTTGTACCATGGAGATCTTGGCATGCCTCTGCTTATGGTACGTAAGGTTTGTTTTGAAGGTTGAACAAAATGCTTTCGTGCTTTGGTAACTGAACCTAAACTTAAATGTCTCATGGTTATCTCCAGAAGCCACTGGGGTTTCCAGTGCCCTTTTCTCTAACACTTACAGAAATACTTCTGGTAGGTTCTCATCCTGAAACACTGAGCTGTTGATCTCAGGCAGCTGCAGTCGGCGCTGACTTGTCATGCATGTGTTATTTCAACTGTCTGGATAGACTCTCAGGCCTGGCACCTTCTGAAGCATTAACGAGTTGAGTCCTCCATTCAGAGCTCAGAGGAACAGGAGCCACCCTGCAGGCCAGCAGAATACCCTTTCTGAGGTGGGTTCAGGAACGTGTTGCTGGAGCTGCAGTCAGGGTTGTAGTGCCTCGATAAGCCTTTCCCCTGTCCTGGACTCTGTGTGCCTTCAGCAGCACTGGGATCTACCTAACACATGCTCCTGTCAAACACATCAACTCCAGAGCTTTTGGGAAGTGCTGCTGCCTTTGTGCTCCAAAGAGCTGACTTCCCTGACTTTCAGCTGACTGAAAGCCCCAGCATTCTTCACCAAACCTCTCATTCCCTTAAGTCTTAAGACTACAATTTTACCCACTGCTCAAGGTGTTCTTCATGGTTGATGCCCCTTTTACCTGCTTGTCTTTTGGTGTTCTTCAGCTGAGTTCTGAAATAACCCTTGAAACAATCTCCTGCCATGTCATCTGCCCTCTTTTCCCTTTGTACAGTTAATTCCTCTTTATATTGCCATAACATGATCTGTGAAACCGCAAGGGTAATACAGCTGAAGGAGTTAACAGGAAGAAGGGACTGTTGTATTTTTGAGGACCTGCAAGAGGAGAAAAGAGCATCTCTGCTTCACTTCCCTACTCCCCTTCTACCATCTCCTTTTGCCCAGATTCAATACCTCCATGGAGCTCCATCCCCAGATGTCCTCCAAAAAGCCACTGCCAGTCAATTCACATTCCTCTCTTTCCATCTTCTCAGCATTGCTTCCCTTTGTGCGTTGTTTCCCCTGCTTACATCTTTCCTCTGTAAAGGGATGGTTACTCATTTAATGCAGTTTTTCAGTGTGAGACAGTAAAAACTGGAAGGGAAATTGCCACATTCAGCATCTACTGCTAATGAGCTAAAGTTTGTGAGGCCACTTGAGTAGAGGTTTCCTTGCAGCTGTGTTGCATGCAAGAGAGTGCATGCACTAAAAGTCAAGTTAACCTTGGATTATGAATTGCAGTGGCATGTAGTGTGTTTTCTATCCTGACTTCATCTATTCCCCATATTGATTAGGTTGTGAGAGAAGTGGCCAGTATTTTTAGCCATTAATATTTTCATGTTCTGTTTTTTGCTTCTGTATCACCTTCCTTGAGGTTTGGTTGGGGTTTTGCTTGCTTTTGTGTTTCACAGGCTGATGGATGATTTGAAAGAACTAAATACCTTTTTAAATGGAAAAAAGAATGAGTTAGTGATTTTCAAGAGAATCAGCAGGGAGGGTTTTGTCCCTTCTGTGTTGGTATAGCTATGTCCTGTCAGTCTTACTGAAGTAGCAGTACTTAAAATAAGGCAGAAGGTATCACAAGGTGATGAAGTGCTCTATAGCAACAAGTTACATCTGATAAACCAAAAAGCTTAATTCACAATGCATTGGCATTACAGAATAATGGCACGAGATAAAAGCTTTATCTTTGGTGTGATGGATCTGGGACTGCAGTTAAGGGTAGAAAATCCCAACAGTTGGATGAGAGCATTAAAATGTCGTCTTAAGTTGCCAAATTTCTGTGGGAGATGGTATTCTGGAACATGTACTTGCCTTACAAAACCTTTGCTTTGTGAATGGCAGGGCCATTCAGTCATGGGCTTACACAAACAGAACACGCTTGGAAGTGAGCTTCCTTGGAATTGGCAGCTACAGACCAAACTTGTTTAACAATCATTTGGACTCCCAGATGTGCTTGGATGGAGCCAGTTTCTGTTGAGGGAATGCCTTCCCCCTGCCACTCACCTCCTGTTTACCTGCAGTTCATGCTTGGCCACGCAGCCAGCTTGCCTGCCCTCTGCTACCTACAGCGGTTGCTTCTTGGAGGAGAGCTGGGGCAGTGGTGGTGGTCATGGCTTCATAGTCAGAGCTAAACCCTCCCTGAGGTGCAAGGCAGAACCCCATCAGCCACTGGGTCCTCGGCCTGTCAGCTGGAACCAAACACAGGGCTGGGAAAGCCAGTGTATTAGCAGTGATTGAGAGCGTGCACAGCTGTAGGTTGTCTTTTCACACTCTTTATTGCCTGTATATGAAGACTAATAAAACTAACTTGTGAAAAGTTAATCCAAATGTACTTTTCCTTATTATTTTCCCCCTGGTATAAATGTTTTCATCCTCGTGGACACGCTGCTCTTATGAGAGAGGTGGGAAGTCTCTGAAATGCTTTACTGGAGGGTGGAAATGTGCAAGCTGCAGAAGTGATGCTGCACAGTGGACAGTGCTCTTTATCTCCAGATTCCATACTCTTAGCAAGGAATTAAAACCAAGCCACTCTTGTGATTTTTATTTTTAAATATATATACACAACACACACAAACACATAAACTTCCACTTTTAAACATTGTTTTCAGTTAGGGACACCACTACTTTCTAGGGCTTCTTTCAGATTCAGGGCCAGAATGCAGAGCTGAAACCTTGTGTCAAAGAGCAGCACTTCCCAGTTGCCAGAGCCAACTGATCGAGCTGCAGATGCATTAAAGAACTGTGGGGCACAGGGAATAGGACCTATAGGGAATAGAGATTGTCTAACAGGAAAAAACACATCTATGGAGAAAGAGCAGGAAATTAATCCACCAGAAGAATGAGATAAAAGATGAACTGCATAAGGCCATTGGTGAAGGGGCGGGGGGCAAAAATGACAATTTCTTACAAAGCAATACCCCATGCTGGTGGAAGAAAGCAGCAACTTGTGCTGCGTGGTGTAATGTCTCCGGAGATAACGTGCTCAAGAACAGACCGAATGTCCCTTTTGGCTGTTTCTAAACCAACTTCTCACCACCTACGGAGCCCATCGGTAACGCTGGATTTACCCCATTCCCCGTGTGCTCCGTTGCACCCAGCACGCTGCCAGGCCGCACTCCCGAACGAGGGGCCGGCTCTGCGCGGTGGTACGAACAAACACCCACGGCCCGGGCGCGATATCTCCTCCTCCCCTCGTTAAAACAAA